TAAGTCTTTTTAAATGCTCACTGAAGTGTATTGCTTGAGCTGTCGATCCGGTTGTGCAAGCTTTTGTTCAACTTAAAATACCAGCCACAGTGACAGAGCTCATGTGGGTTTTCACATGCTGCAACACTAACTTGTCACTTTCTGGTAAATACTGGCAAAGTGAAAGATTTAAAAGGATAGTTCACCCTAAAAATCTAATTTCTCTTAATCGCTTCGAACCCATGTGAAAACCCATGTCTTTCTTCAGTGAAAACAAAAATTTGAATATTTTCTTTTGTGTTTAGCAGAAAAAATAAATTCATACAGGTTTTGAACTTGAGGGTCAGTTAATGGGTTAGTCAGCAGCACCACACACATGTGTCATGGTACTGTCATAAACACGTGGCAAAGACTGACACGGAAGAGAAGAAATTGCTGAAAAAAGTCATTATTTTTGTTTTCTTTGCACACAAAAAGCATTCTCGTAGCTTCATAAAAAGATTGAAGGACTGATGTCACATGGTATATTTAAAAAATGTCCTTACTACCTTTCTGGGCCTTGACCGTGGCAGTTCCCTTGCTGTCTATGCAGGGTCAGAAAACTCTCGGATTTCATCAAAAATATCTTAATTTGTGTTCCAAAGATGAACGAAGGTCTTACAGATTTGGAACGACATGAGGGTGAGTAATTAATGGCATAATTTTCTTTTTTGGGTGAACTATCCCTTTAAGAAAACTGCATGTATACAGACCTGGATTGCCCGTCCAAACTCAATCAGCATCATTTCAAAGACCTTTGGCCCATCCAGAAGGAGGGTCCCACCCTGAGTGTAGTGTGTGCAGATCTCTTGTCCCAGACGAGGAGGAGGTGGGGGGGTGTTCTCTATTATAGAAAAAGAAAGCAAAGGGAAAAGATTTAGATCCATATGAACATGATTAAATGACACGGCAAAGCACTGAAATCTGAAATTTAAAAAAAATACCCAATGCTGATCATTGTGATAAAGACAAGAAGATAATAGGTCTGAATGATCTCCAATGAAAAGAGAACTGTGATTGGACACTCACGTTGAGCGTTCACCACAGCAGCCAGCAGGCATAGGCTCAACACTGTCACCAGATGGCCAAATTGTGCCATTGCTGCAGATATTTTGCAAGAACAAGACTGTGAGACTTGGATGAGGAGAGACTGCAAAAGAAAATAGAGGAAAATAAAGAAATTTAGACAAGAGAGAATTGATAATATTGTCACTATATGTGGATTTTAAATATCCCACAAAATTAGAATTTTGTGGTTTTTAGTCCATGTGTGTCCGTTTCTGTTAATCAGAGAGAGAACATTTTTGTAAACATTATTTAATGTTTTGTCATTGTTTGTCAAAGTTCATGCATTAACTTAAGATATTAATTAAAACAATTTTACACATTTTTATTTAGTTGATCATATTTTAGTTTAATTCTACTAATCATTGCACTAAAAATAATGTGTTCACCTTTTCTTTCCTTAAGTATCAGAATCGTTTCAGAACTATATTTATTGTGGGAAGAATTAAATTTAAAAAAAAATTTTTTTTTAATCAGGTTTATACATTTAACAAAGGTTATAGAAAAAAATGCATAAACTAACAGTAAATGTTCTCCAGGTAATAGTAATTTGCTGTCTTCAGCTTTATATATTTTTTACACCCTATAAATGGGTCTTAATATGCAGGAAAATATACAGCTATTTTTATATTTGAGAAAATAACATTTTAAGAAATTTTATATGATCGTGAAATGAACTTTATCTCCATTATTTCCTCTTCCTCTTTAAGTCCTGCTATAATTTAGTCTTTAGTTACAACTTACAGTCATACACAGGACCAAACCTCAAGTCAGTTTTATTTTAAAACATTAAACCTAGTTCTAGAGTTTACAGAAAAAACATTGCAGGATAAATCTGTTTTTGGGAACAATAAGCTGGTTTAACACCCTTATTTCGCCATTGAATATACTCAGTGGCTCATTCATTTTTTTTTCCATAAATGTAATACAATCATTTTGCAAAGAATGTAGGCGTGTAAGTCTTTTTAAATGCTCACTGAAGTGTATTGCTTGAGCTGTCGATCCGGTTGTGCAAGCTTTTGTTCAACTTAAAATACCAGCCACAGTGACAGAGCTCATGTGGGTTTTCACATGCTGCAACACTAACTTGTCACTTTCTGGTAAATACTGGCAAAGTGAAAGATTTAAAAGGATAGTTCACCCTAAAAATCTAATTTCTCTTAATCGCTTCGAACCCATGTGAAAACCCATGTCTTTCTTCAGTGAAAACAAAAATTTGACATTTGGCAATGTGACCATTTCAGTAACCATTCACTTACTGAAAAACAATCCAGTGAAAGTGAATGGTGACTGAAAGTGTCTTCTTCCTAACATCTAAAACCACATGAGGGTGAGTAAATTATGACACAACTTTGATTTTAGGGTTGAATGTATATTTTTAAAGTCTTTCATCTATCAGTATGTAAATATTCTAGAAACCAGAAACCAGCATTGAGTCCTACACGATGTCCAGAGTGTAGCCATTTGAATTATATTTTTAAAACAATGCAGGTGACAAATTATTAGAAAGTGCCACTTTATGATACCTGATATGTTGTGATTCTGTATCTGAAAACTGACCTTAATGGATTAATACAATTATGATATTGTGCAGTGGTATTTTATTAATCTCTTAATTCAGCATGCAAATCTAAAATCACAACATATCAATATATACAGAGCTGATCAAAAATCATATTGAAAATTAAATTAATAAAATAAGCAATAATAGCAATAATGTTTATAGCCTGCTGTGAACACTGGAGCAGAACTTTTAAAACACAAGGAAAACAGAAAATAAGAACAGCAAACATAGTATAAGAGAAAGAAAAACAATAGTTTGCAGAGAAAACTAGAAGAGTGGAGGTGCTTCTTACCTGTATCAAGTCTGAAGCGAAACTGCCTACTGCTCTGAACGAGGAGAGGAGAACTACTAGAAATGTGATTTACATATCACCACCCATTTTCACATATGATACCGAGAAAAGAGTCAGAGTGGGAGGGGAGATAAAAGGTTTGTTGATATGTTCTTCCTTGTTCCTGATGAACATCGTGAAAATAATGCAGCATTCGTCCATAAATCAGCATATTATTCAAAACTGCATGTTCTCAGACTGAGGCGCACAGTCTCACAAAGTACAGCTTCCCAATCATGACTATAACAATGATAGACATGCCAGATCAATAAAAGGTGTATGAGCACAGTGCATTAAAATAGACACTGAAATGGGTGAGTCGGCCTCTATAGGATGAAGAAAACCTGGACTGACAAGTAGCATTCTTTTTAAAGCATTACTTTCCTTTCACTTTAATCACTTGACAATATGTGCTGGGACTTTCTGATCAAATATTCACATCATATGAAAAGAACCTGCTAGTAAAGTATAACCATAATGATGTGCTTGTGTCACAATAAGTGGTTGTAGCACTAATTTTTGCATCATACGTAGATGCACAGTTCCTTGTTTTGTGTTGTAACAGCGAGGATCACAATTATGGTGTAGAAAAACTATTTGTTTGTCCATTTTGTTCAGCCATTTAGTCTTTACTTGATGTGAAGTGCATCGCAGTGCTTAACAAAACTACATGAAACCAGTTAAGCTGCGTATTTAGTTTATTTAGTAGAGAAAGAAAGAGAAAAGATTACGTATACTTCAATTATGACCTCTTAACCTCTAGATTGTTTACTAGGGTTACGCTTTCCCATCAAAATGTATTTGTGCCTGTTTCATCCAATGATTCTGATGACATGTCCGATGAATAGGATGCACTCACGATGATTCAAATATCTGTCTTTATGAGCGCTGAAACTAGTGATGGAGAGAGAAAGGAGATATTTTAATGGTGGCTCTTTATTCATGATTAACTTTATATTTTACATTATTTGTTTAGTTAACTGCTGTTTGACAAGACTAACAAACCTGGGTATCCCACCCAAACTCCAGTGTGATCACGTCAAAGGCCTCTGACTTGTTCAGACCGCTGGATGTGCCCTGCATGTACATGGAGCAAATGCCATCATCACGATTAAGATCGTTTAGAAGTTCTAAGAGCAAAAGATAGTTTTCAAAAGATAAAAGACAGAAATATCCAATGGCAAAGCTCTGAAACTGGCATAAAATGCTGTTAATTGCTAACAAAAGTAAATGAGAGCAGTGATTAAATCACTTTCTGGGGTACTATCCAAAGTGGTGGAAGACGGTAACTTGAGGAGAAGAATTGTTGAAGAAATTATGTTATTGTTTTCTTTGCGCACAAAAAGTATTCTCGCTGCTTTGTAAACTTACGGTTGAACCACTGATGTCACATGGACTATTTTACTGATGTCCTTGCTATGTATCTGAGCCTTGATCGTGGTAGCATCCTTGCTGTCTATGGAGGGTCAGAGAGCTCTCAGATTTCATCAAAAATATCTTAATTTGTGTTCCAAAGATGAACAAAGGTCTTACAGGTTTAGAACGATATGAAGGTGAGTAATTAATGACAGAATTTTCATTTTTGGGTGAACTAATCTTTTAAGGTGTTTAAGGTAATCTTTTAACCCAAAGATGTTTTTGTGTAGAGCAGTGAAATTGGGAAAATAATGTCTTGAGACATTTTTTTTTTACCTTAACTGAACTTATTTTAGCTTTAGCACTTAGAACACTGTGTCATATGCAGTGTTGGGGAAAGTTACTTTTAAAAGTAATGCATTACAATATTGCGTTACTCCCTAAAAAAGTAACTAATTACGTTACTTAGTTACTTTTTATGGAAAGTAATGTGTTATATTACTTTTGCGTTATCATATGTGAGTGCAACAGTCAAACATGTCCACCTAGCACGTGTTTACATAGAAAAAAATGCAATGGAAAAGCAGCACAGTGGAACGCAAAAATGTGTTCTGTGTTAACGCTTCCTTGTTCAGGGTAAATATAGGCAAAAATAATACAAGTGAGAAACGTTGATGCTTTATTTCACTTCTGCCATTAGTGTCTTTTACAAACATTTTGCCAATTTTCAAAGGACCAGCATGTTTAAGAAATGCTACATAATATCCTCAACATCAATATAAATTCACACAACGAGACCTGAATCTGCAACAATGCATCCAAATAGCAGAAAACATGGCCAAAACCAGCGCTTTCAGCAACTGTCTTTATTGCAATAACATATCGCACACTCACTCACACTCACACAATAAATACAACTGACATTCAGTACACAATTCAAAAAATGTCCCTTTAACAACACACTCTACTGACTGACAGTTGCACAGTCATAAGCAGCATCCATTTCTGAAATTAAACTTTGCCTGCTAAATTGTTGTCACCATACCCATTCTGCAAAAAGAAAACAGACATGACCATAGCAGTCATGATTATGAAAAAAAAGTATGAGGTGTGTCAAGAGACTGTTTTGTTTTGGAGATTATTATTTAGGACATTCAAATGGGAGAGTCGGTTATGTAACACTAGAGCAGCCACCTGTAGAGATCTCACAAAAGCAGGTTATTTTCATTACATGGTTGTTCTTTTAGTTTCGCTTGCTGAAGGCATCCATCAGCCCTGTTTTGGCCCAAACAAACCAAACAGACAAGGTCTCTATGCACAGGACGTGTACTGACACCAATACAACATGTCCAACCAAAGGTTTCGCATCTTGGTTGAGCCTCAAAGTAACAAGACAATTCAAAGACATTGGGAACTACTTAGAAACATGAAACTGATCAACAAGACAGCCATAAACTGTCTCAAATGGATTTGAATTGCAACGTGATCACATTTCAAGGCATTGTTACATTCCTGTAAAGAGCACATACTGTACATTGTTAATGAACAAATCAAGATGTTTACTAACTATTAGCACACCCTTATTAGGCGGTTTGCATGCTAACAATGCTGGAAAACGAGTTTGTAAATAGCGAGGAATCATTTGCTTTCAAAAGAATGTTCAAAATGAAGGTGTTATGAGTGAAACTGAATCATACCTGATTTCATTTTTTTTAATTTTGTGGCCATAAAAATGAACGATTCCTCGTTATTTAATATTGACCTACATGTTGTTAGCATGCTACATGTTGTTAGCATCCATAACCACTTTTTAATGTCTATCCTTTGAAATTAAATGAATCTTAATATAAAATATCATCAGTCATTGCATTATTAGCTACGAAATAAGCAGGTAAACAAAGTCGATAGAAAACGATAAAAGAAGATTTGCTTAAAGGTGCTGATTTGACTAGTTTCAAAGCGATCAGACGGTTTAGTGACCGGCGTCGGTGGCACGTGTTTGGATGGTCACTCTTCTCGGTGGGTTCTGTTCTGTATTACGATTGGCTATTTGCTCTTGCAGCTGCAGAGCACCTCCACCAATGAAACAGAACGCTGGGCAAACAGGGGCGGAGCAATCAACAGTCCCCTCCCACAGCACTCGCAAAGAGTGTGCATCGTAAAAAGTGAGCCGCCCCTTCTCGAAGTCCAGACACAGTCCAAGGCGAGGTGGTAAGGGGGCAGTGAGGGGGCCGGTAGAAGTGTTAGACGCCCCACACTTAGGTAGTAAGATCTTGCCCATGCCCATTGTGAGGAAACAGAATGGAGGAGGATTGTCCAGGGCGTCCTCTGCACCGCTGTCATGACCACTGTCTGGATCGTACCTATGGAGAGAAATGGAAGGGAAAAAATAAAACCATCAATAATATAGCCTATGTAAGTCACCCTGAGTTAGTCAGCTCTTAAACTCCTAAAAGTTTCTCCTCACCGTGGACTCGCCATGTCTTGTGGAAGATGGAACCACTCCTGAAGTTTCGCTTCAATACCCACTCCCACCTACACAGAGAAAACCACTCGTTTTTAATGTTCAATTTTTCAGGTTAAAATATATTTTATTATATTAAAATATATTAATATACTAAAATGCAATTCATAAATATAACTTGAATATGTGACCCTGGACCACAAAACCAGTCTTAAGTAGCATGGGAACATTTGTAGCAATAGCCAAAAATACATTGTATGGGTCACAATTATAGATTTATCTTTTATGCCAAAAATCATTAGGATATTTTGTTCCATGAAGATATTTTGTAAATAATATTGTCCGATCCTAACAAACCATACATCAATAGAAAGTTTATTTATTCAGCTTTCAGATGATGAATAAATCTAAATTATTTCTCAAAAAAAAATTCTCAAAAAAGGTTTTGTTGTCCAGGGTCACATATACTTCTGTGAACTTGGGTTTTTATTTTTTTATTAAATTCATTTTGTTTTCATTTTATTTTTTTGTGGAATGAATAAATGCAAAAGTGTCAGTATGATACAATGAAGAAAAAAAATCTTCATTAAAAATTAAATCCTTGAAAATAAACCTTCATTCAGTAATTTGGCATACTTTTTCCATATTACTTCACAGAAAAAAAAATTAAATATTTAAAACGTACTGTATATTATCAATTTTTGCAACAAATCAGCTGTACACTACCGCTCAAACGTTCAGGGTGGGGTTGGTAAAAATGTATATATATATATTTTTGTTTTGAAAGAAGTCTGTTATACTTACCAAGGCTGCATTTATTTGATCAAAAATACTGTAAAAACAGTAACACTGTGAAATATCGCTACAATTTAAAATGTATAATATACAATTTAAAATTGATAATAAATGAATAAAATGAAAACAAACTTTTCAACTTAATATATTTTAAATGTAATTTATTTCTGTGATGCAATGCTGAATTCTCAGCAGCCATTACTCCAGTCTTCAGTGTCACATGATCCTTCAGAAATCATACTGATATGCTGATTTGGTGATCAAGAAACATTTTCAATACTGTTGAAAACAGTTGAGCTGCTTAATATTTTGTGTAAACTGTGCTACATTTCTTTTAGGATTCTTTGGTGAGCAGAAAGTTCAAATGAACAGCATTTATTTGTCATCTTTTGTAACATTATAAATGGCTTGACTGTCACTTCTGATCAATTTAATGTACTGATTTCTATGTTGACCTTAACCAGGTAGGATCCAGGCTCCACTGAGCATGCCCAGTAGTGTCGTCCCTGTGTGATGGAAACATCGGCCACAAGGAGGTCAGAGGTGAGGTGACATGAGGTGAGGGCCCGGTCTGCAGCCTGCAACAGAGTCATTCCAGGAACACTCCGGGCATATGTCTGCCCTTTTCCCAGCGCCACCCGCTCCGCATGTAGGCCCCAGCGGGAATCCAGGCAGAACGACAACACTGAGATTGAGGTATGCAGGAGAAATGAAGTGGAGGAGAGGTTTGGAAAGGTCAGGTCATTAGGAGCAGAACACAAACAAAAAGAGGATGAGGGAGTGAACATATAAATAGGAGACATAAAGAGGGTGGTATGTATGGATAAGCGAAAAAGGGAAGAAATAGGATTGAAAATTTGGAGAAAAGAGGGAAACAGAGGACAGCAGGAAGATTGTACATATTCAAGGACTTTGGGATTCAGAGGAGATCAAGCTGCTGATATATTCCAGTTAAACAGGAATACAAGTCAAAGAAACAGCAGAGATAACAGGAGTAAAGGAAGGTGGAGAATAACAGGAAACATAAGGAGAAATAATACAGAGAGAAGAGCAAAAACAGAGACATGTCAAAGAGTTGTGGATATGCATGGAGAAATATACTACTGATAAGCAACAGAATTAATTGTATGAGAGAAAATGAAAGAGAATGTAATATACATCTAATAGCACAAGAAGATCAGGTTCAGTTTGACAGAATTGTGGGATGGATGGATGGATGGATGGATGGATGGATGGATGGATAGATGGAAGGACGGACGGATGGATGAACAAGCAAACGAATGAACAAACAGAAGAATGAATGAATCAGTGAATTAATGCATGGATGGATAGATAGAAGATAGATTAATGGATCAATGAATCAATGAAACGGATGGATCAATGAACCTATATGGATGGATGAACAAGTGAGTGAACAGACAAATAAATGCATGGTTGGATGGATAAATGAAGGATGAAAGGATGAACTGATATAAACAAATGAATAATTCAGTAAATAAATGAATAGATAGATGGATATATGCCACATGAATAAACAAAAATGAACAAAAAACAGATGAATGAATCAATAAATCAATGAATGAATACACTGGTGGATGGATAAATGGAGAATGGATGGATAATGAATGAATGAATATCAATAAATGAATGCATGAAAGCAAAACATCAATGAATCATTAAATGGATGGATAGACAAGAAAACAGAAAAACAAGTGGATGACAGACAATGTCAATTGCAAGTCGAAGAAGTAGAATGAGTGGGAAAGATGCAAAATAAAAACAAAACATTCAATAATGCAATAAATTGGGGAGCTGTAGAAAAAGAAATGTGTCTCTGATATTTTGAAGTGGTTCAGACTGAAGTGTGTTTGTATATTTGTGCATCTTACCTGGTGCAGGAGGTGTGTGTAGATACACCTCCTCACTGTACTCTCCAAACCCTGCTTTATTACAGCCTCGAACTCTCAGGACATACACACTGTCCATCTCTAGCTTGTCAATCACTGCACTGGTCCCGCCCACATCATCCAGACGCTGCCATGAACAGTGTGTGCCATTACTTCCCGAGCTTCCTTCAGACAAGACTCTGCCCCATAATGCTCCAGCTCCGCCCACTTTCCTCTGATACTCCACTGAGTAGTGCCAGGCGGGGGCGGAGTCCTGTGGGAGGCGCCAGCACAAATACAGCTGGTCATAGGCCAAGGTCTTTTGAGTGTCAATCACAGGAGCCAATGGGGCTGCAGAAGGAACATAAGGGGTGGGATTAAATGCTAATTCAAATGCATGTGCATTTAATTATTATATTTGACAATTATATTATGAAAACCTTGTATAAAGTCCATGCTGCTGAGCGCTTTGAGTTCTCTGGAGACGTCCATCTGAAAGTGTCGGAACGAGGGATCAGCAGATAGAGAGAAATGCTGTAGATTTTCTATTGCTTTTACCAGTCTGAGGAGAAAAAAATAGATAAAAATCAAGCTTTCTGTATACCAAGTGATCATGTGTAACATAATATTCCCACATTTATGTTGCGTACTTTGAAAATGTTTCTATGGAAACACACAATAGGCTATTGTGGGATTTGTATTTCATAAATGGCCAGATTTGCACAATCCCAGCAACCCACACCCACAAGCATACACTCTAACCTGTTGTGCGTGACTCTGGCGGCCTGCACGAAGCACGACTGGTCAGTTTCCTTAAGCAGCTCTTGTGTGTATGTGAGCAGCGCTGCGTTTTCCAAAAGACTCTGTTTTTCGGAAAGCTGTGCGTTCAGAGTCCCTGCCCGCTGTGCACGAGCCCCCTCCAGAAACATGGCCAAGGCCCCCTGACGCTCCGCCAGCACACCGCGCAATTCACTCACACACTGATTCAGCTGCTCTTTAGCCACTGCGCTGTTCACCTGAACACAGAGGTACAGAGAATTAACAGGACAGCAGAGCAGAATAGCAAAGCTTGACTGAGAATTTCTTTAAATATTTTTTACTACATATGGGAGGAGGCCTCTCATCATGTATTTTTCAAATGTCATAAATATTTTAATAATTTAAAATGTAGACGTTTTTATTATTTTAATTTATCTAATTCATATTTTACAATTACAATAATACATATTAAATAAAAAATATTATTATCAATAATTTAATTTAATTTAATTTAATTTAATTTAATTGTATTGTATTGTATTGTATTGTATTGTATTGTATTGTACTGTCATCTCCACCATCACATTTGGTCGTCATTATTTTTCACAAATAAATATTTCAATTATTTCAAGTGAAAACACCACTGAAAAAAACGAAATACTAAAAAATAACCACCCATCATTCCAGGTAAGTCATATAGAGATTGACCTATTATCCACCTTTAGATTTTATTTCCATTTATTAAAGAAGTATTGTGTCTTTTTAAATGTCAAAAAATATTTTAAATCTAAATTTTCAATTTACTTTAATCTATTCAATTCATATTGTATAATTCATATATTTTATATTTAAAATATTTACATGAAATTATAATATATCTTAAATAAAAATAATAATTTAAAACAAAGTATTATCAATAATAATAACAACAATAATAACAGATTTTTTAATTAAATTTTTTATATATTTTCTTAATTTTAACAATGAACCTTGGCCATGCCATGACATTTGTCCACAAACACACACACGCACACACATACACATATATATAAATTATTAGAACACTAGTATTTTCACCAGCTAAAAACATGGTTTAAAGTCAGTTATTTCTATCTTTTGCTGGAGTGTGTCAGCAGGAAATATCAGTTTACATTTCCAAACATTTATTGTGCCATTAATTGTAATAATCCAGTGAGATTTTTGCTGCTCACAGAGACCTGATCTGATCATCATCATCCAGTCTGTCTGGAATGACATGATGAAACAGAACAAACTGAGACAGACTCAACTCAGAAGAACTGTGGCAACGTCTCCAAGATGCTTCAAGAAACCTACCTGCAAAGCTACAGTACTGTTAGGCACTTGTGTAAAAATGCTGTAAAATGAGGATGCTGTCAAAAATAACGTCATAAATAGATTTTCTTTATCAATGAACTTCTATTAACTAAATTAAATCAACATTTGGTGTGAACATCCTTTGCGTTTAAAGCAGCGTTTGGCCTCGGTGCACTTGCACATAGTTTTTCAGGTAGATTTGCAGGTAGGTTTCTTGAAGCGTCTTGCAGACGTTGCCACAGTTCTTCTGAGTTGAGTCTGTCTCAGTTTGTTCTGTTTCTTCACGTCATTCCAGACAGACTGGATCATGATGATGAGATCAGATCTCTGTGAGCAGCACTGGCTGTTGTCAGACAAAAATCTCACTGGATTATTACAATTAATGGCAAAATGAATGTTTGGAAATGTAAGCCGATATTTCCTACTGACACACTACAGCAAAAATAGAAATAACTGACTTTAACCCATGTTTTAGCTGGTGAAAATACTAGTGTTCTAATCATTTTGGCCACCACTGTGTGTATATATATATATTTCAACATCATATTTCACGAGTTCCATTATTCTTTTATTTTGACTGCTAAAAGTTTATAACACCTGGAAAAATCACCCCTCGCTCCACACTGCTTTCATACACTGAAATGAAGAGGTGTCTCACAAACACTAAAAGTATAATTAAAACACCAGTGCTGTGTACCTCAGTCTGAGCGATGCCGCTTTCTACTTGGGTGATCTGTGCCTGTACAGACTCCTGATTGGCCAAGATGTAGTTCATCTCCTTGGTGATCTTCTCCTGTGATTTCACAACATGGAGAATGATGAGTTAAGCACCGACAACACCGTAGAGCTTCTGCTAGAGCTCCCTGGTCATTGAGAGGAAATCCTCTCCTCTCTGCCCTTGATCATTCAGAGCTGCGCAGGGCTAGAGCTTAGAAAGATTAGCCCAAATAACCATTTTATACAGGAAAGAAGGACATGTTGGGCATATTTATAATGTTTACAGTCTAAAGACTATAAAGCACATAAGGATTAATATCAGGAATGGATACCTTTAGAGTTTGGTAAGCCAGCGCAATAGGCATGATTTTGTGTCCACTGTGGGCTCGACGGAGTTTACAAAGTGGGCATAACAAACGCTGACATGACCTGCAGTAAAACTGCAACCTCTCCTGCTCATGCTCCACACACACTAATACCTACATGTGAGTGAGAGAGAGAGAAAGGAAGAGAAGGAAGAGAAATGGGCAAGGAATAAGACAGAGAGAGAGGAAATTAGTTTAAGAGGAACTTTTGAGACTATAACAGTTGATCAAAAATCATCTGTGTCGATTACTGTGGAAAAGGGCAATATTTGAATATTATTTGCATGGGATTAAGTTCAAAACAGATAAAAGAATCCATTGTCATATGGCCAAAAATAGAAATAGAAATAACGCAAAATACTGTTTTGCACGTATACAGAACACATTCAAAAATGTGGGTCAGTAAGATTTTTTTTTTATTATTGTTTTTGAAAGAAGGCTTTTATGCTCACTAAGGCTGCACTTATGTTTTAAATATACAGTAATATTATGAAATATTATTACAGTTTAAATGAACTGTTTTCTATTCCATTATATTTTTAAATATGATTTATTCCTGTGATGGCAAAGCTGAATTTTACTGCAGTCTTCAGTATCACATGATCCTTCAGAAATCATACTAATATGCTGATCTGGTGCTCAAGAAACATCTCTTGCTGAAAACAACTGTGCGGCGTAATATTTTAAGCAGTGACACAAATGTAGCATCTTTGCAGGAATCTTTGATAAATAGAAAGTTCAAAAGAACAGCATTTATTTGAAATACAAATCTTTTGCAACATTATAAATGTCTATTCTCTCACTTTTCGTCAATTTAATGCATCACTGCTGATTTCTGTTCAAAAATTCCTTTGAATGGTAATGTATATTGCTGGTCAAGTTCTTCAAAACTTCATATCTGGTATTAACTTAGAGTCATTCTTAGTGAAGTAAACATTTGACCTATTTTCCAAATTGATCATACCCATAAAACAACCATAATATAATTCTACACCAGTGGAATCTAAATGAAAGAAATGATAATAGAGTTCAACAGTTCTTGAAGTAGATTCATTTTCTTTACAGGGGAACTGTTTTGAATGATAAATGACAAACCTTTAAAGACAGACCTACTGTGAGCTCCGAGTTTGTTCATTGATGGTTTGTGCTTTTGTTGAAGCTGTCAGTCCACGTAATTTCAACTTATTCTTTAAATAATCATGTTTAACATGGGAATTTATGGTGGAAAAACTACATTATGATTGTTCTTAATTCAATTACGTCAGTTCTTCACTAGTACACAGTCTTGTGCCTTTGTTTTGTTCGGTTTTATGCCTGTGCCTCTCTCTGTTTGCATCTGGTTTGGTGCATCGCGTGTGTGTGACAACATGGTAAGTCGGACAATATTACTTATGCTTATAGTAACAGATTACCACAGAAAAAACTTGAGTCATCCCACAGGAAACTCACTTCACCTTTATTAACTTCATGTCTAATTGTCCACTGTTTGTTTAGCTCTTTCTTTCTCTGTCCTGTCTCATATAGCCTGATCTTCTCTG